CTAACCATTAAAGGCAGCTCTTACTGACATCAGGGGACCACAGAAGGTGTTTTTAGAGAGACAACCAATCCAACTTCATCTCTGAAATCCCTGAACATTCTTCAGTGCCATTGCACATGACAGCCCAGAACTATCTTCTTCTGGTGGAGAGGAGACTTAGGCAAGTCCTCCCTCCAAGGACTAAAGGTTCAGCAGCGGGCTCTGCTCACTTGCTTGCCAACTGCATGATGATTTCAGGCCCTGCTGGAAGCATCCACAGTGACAGAAGGGCAGTTTTTTTTTTTTTCACAAATTTGTGAAGAGAAAGCACCCCAACAGATGGCTCCCAGGTTGATTGCTAGAGTGAGCTCCTGATTTTCCTTTTGAGAGGCTGAGATGAAAGTTGCCTTATTATGGAATTCTTGGAAACTCCTGGAACATAGCAGAAAATAATATTTTATCACTTTCTTTTCTGGATCATTTCCCTTGTTCCCCCACAATGAGAATCAACTATGGGGTTGGTTGGACGGTCCTCAGCGTCTCTCCCACAAAATTACAAAAAGAAATTCTGTTAACTTCTAACTAAAAGGAAAATTGAAACAGAAGATACCCAAATAAGCTGAACTCTTTAAGGCCCTCTGGGAGACAGGGGTGAAGCTGGGCAATTCTAATTTCTTCCATTACCACCATTCTGGACCCTGGAGGTAGATGACTCTGTAATGGTATGACCCACACATCACACTAAACCTTTCCCATGGTTCCTCTAAACAGTCAAGACAGACCAGAGCTTTTGGAAAAACTTTATACAGTTCTAAGGAAAAACAAAGAGATACAAACACAGATAGTGGTACAAGGTTTACAAAACAGGCTTTTGAACCCAGTTTGAATAGAGTGTTTTCAAGGCTTTTAGGGCCATCTTCTACTTCATGTGCTGTGTTGAGATTTGCTCAAATTGTCAAGCTCTCACCTGACTTTTTCATTTCCTTTCTTCATGAAGCTTGCCTTAGAGGGCTTTGGCTAACCTGTAAGACATCTCCATGTGAACTTGACAAAAGTGCCCTCTCTGGGAAGATGCAGGGTCTTGTCTTAGGAAGCAGAAGACATCCTAGATTTCAGTTTCTACTTAATCCCCACCCCCACCCACCCTGGCAGGCACTACTGTACACAAAGCAACCTGCCCAACTATATTTTAGTGGCCCTGCCCATCACTCAAGGAGTTTCAAGCTAAATTGAGATTTGTATATTCAGGAACACACACACACACACACACTGAGTTTCTTCTACCTGTCTAGGACCTTAGCTTTCAGGTCTGACTTCTGGTCTAAAGAAATGCCTCTCCAAATAACTGCCATGGAGAATGACGTCCCAGGATTTCATGCCTTATAAAGCCTTTCTTGGAATGGCATTTGGCCTAGCAATAAAGACACTGGTTAAGATGCCCACATCCTTTATTGGCACAGAGTAACCTTGGTTTGAGTTCTGGTTCCTGATCCTATCTTCCTGCTAATGCAGACCCTGGGATACAGTAGGTGATGGCTCAAGAGGTTGCATCCCTACAACCCATGTGGGAGACCTCAACTGAGTTCTTGGCTCCCAGTTTTAGTCTGGCCATTGTGTGCATTTAGGGAGTGAACCAGCAGATGGAAGCTCTCTGCTTCCTTCTCTCTGCCTTTCTGCCTCTCAAATAATAAGGAGGAAGGAAGGAAGGAAGGAAGGAAGGAAGGAAGGAAGGAAGGAAGGAAGGAAGGAAGGAAGGAAGGAAGGAAGGAAGGGAAGGGAAGGGAAGGGAGGGAAGGGAGGGAAGGAAGGGAAGGAAGGGAAGGAAGGGAAGGAAAGGAGGAGGGAGGGAGGGAGGGAGGAAGGAAGGAAGGAAGAGAGGGAGACAGGGATGGAGGGAGGGAAGGAGGAAGGGAGGGAGGGAGGGAAGGAGGGAAGGAGGGAGGGAAAGACTTTTCTTGCCAACCTACCAGGATTTCTTAATGTGCTTTATTGACTATATCATTTTACAATCACAATATATTTGGAGTCAAAAGAAGGTGAATCTGCACTAAGAGGAGTTTTTTTTGTTTGTTTTTGGTTTTTTTTTTTTTTTAAGTTTAAAGGCCACTGGATAAGAAATAGTTGAACTCAGCTGGGACTTCTAAAGGGCAGGTCCCCTTCCAAGGACCTGGCTCTTCAACTAAACAGCATCACGGTGAGCCTACATGCAGTCCTCATGTTGATTGTCATCCAATTCTACAAAGCCCAGAAATATGTTATTCTTGAGCAAAGCAGATAAGCTCTGTGTCTAGGATCAACATGCTGATTTTCAGCAAAACACACATCCTGCTGGGTTCTGCTGTACATAGTCTGCACACAACTTCAAGTAGGCTACATTATGTAAGCAAAGGGTGGTTTCCTTGCACAACAACACGTGCCCCTTGAAGGGGCTGGGCTTTAAGTGTGTATTTATTTATGTGTATGTGGTGTTGGGGTTAATCTCTCCTTGCCCAAGCTCCCCTACAGCTAAAAAGAGCATTGAGGGACAAAATTTAACTACTTGATCAACAACACGGATGATGAGTTCTAAACTTGCAAACGGGCTGGGCTGGAAAATATTCTCAATATGATCGGGTTACTCGGGTTTCCAGGCTAGTCTGCATCTCCCATGCCAAAAATGACATCCATAATATACATTTTAGTTGGAATTATGTTGGAATGTTTTTAGCGGAAACTTTTAGTGGGGATATTATTAGCAGAAATCACATACCTTTAGTTGGAAACAAAGCTTTTGCAAAGTGAGTTGCTAAGGAAAACAATTTTAAATACATGCTTTGTTTTTAATGATGCTGAATGCTAGGGTTTGGGGTAAAAACATGCTTAGAAACATTTGAAAAGGTCAAGGGTGATTAAGGGGTCTTCCAGGCTTATTTAAAGGGGCCTAGAGGTTAATTATAATGATTTTCTGTTTCACTTTATTTCCCTTTCTGTCTCCTCTGGTGAAGACATGATTGGTGTGAAGGCAGTATTTGAGGCTCACAAATGAGAGAGAGAAAAAAGCAGGAGCGGAGTGGGTGAATGGACAGAGATTGTGTGGAGTACCAGAAGGAGGCACAACAAAGAGGAACAAAGAGGCTGAGCAGGATGGCCCCATGTGGAATTAACTGAAATATACATAATCTCAAAGGCAAGAAAGGAGGTGGGGGGGCCTGGGTTGTGGCAAAGCAGATAAAGCCACTGCCTGTGACTCTAGCATCCCGTATGGGTGTTGGTTCAAGCCCTGGCTGCTCCACTTCCGATCCAGCTCCCTGCAAATGCACTAGGGAACGCAGCAGAAAGATGTCCCAAGTGCTTGGGCCGCTGCACCCACGTTGGGAGACCTGGAAGAAGCTCCTGGCTCCTGGCTTTGGATCGGCGCAGCTCTGGCCATTGCAACCATCTGGGGAGTGAACCAGTGGATGGAAGCTCGCTCGCGCTCTCTCTCTCTCTCTCTCTCTAACTCTGTCTTTAAAATAAATAAAATCTTTTTAAAAATGTATTTATTTAGCTAAGAGGCAGAGAGAGAGAGAGAGAGCGAGTGAGCTCCCATCTGCTGATTCACTCCCGAAATGCCTGCAACAGGTAATACTGGTCTGTGGGCAGGTGCCAGAGCTGGAAACTGGCAATTCAATCCAGCACTCCACATGGGCCACAAGAACCCACTTAATTGAGCCATCACCACTGGATTCCAGGGCCTGCCTGAGCAGGAAGCTGAAGTCAGGAGCCAGAGCCAGGTATTGAACCCAGGTACTCGTATGTGGGATATGGGCATCTTAACCAGAGTCTCCAAAACTAGTCCCAACACGCACTCCAGCTTATCTCTGAACTTCAGTTTTCCACCGCCTTTTTGAAGTGTCCTCTTATGGTCTTCCTGGAAATGCTAGATAGCTAATAAATGATTTGCAATTAAAGTGATAAAATGAATGGGTACGTTTCAAACAGCCACAGTGTCTGGGGGATGATATTTAAGGCGCAGCCTTCACTGTTTCTCTCCTTTCTGCCTTGCTTCAACCAATATGTAAGCATTTACTGACCCTTATTGTGCTAAACAACAGGGATATAATGGTGATGGAGATCTGGCCCCGCCCTCCAGGACAAAGCAATAGGCAGATTCTTCGAATGTTTCTTTTAGGCAGGAACCCCAGAGTTATAGGAAGGAAATCTCCCCTGGCTTTGGGGTTAGGGACTGACCTGATGGATGAGTGGGGCTTAGCATCATGAAGATGAATGGGGCAAGTGTATGAGCTAGAGGAGCCGGTGTGCACAAAGCCCTAGAGGACCCATGTGTTCTTTCGCTTTGGAAACAGAAGCCAGTCAGTTTCCTAACTCTCAGTAGCACGCCCCATTCAAGTGGAGCCCTTGGGGCTGGAGGAGGGAACCGTCACGCTCAATGGCGCGCTGGAGTCGTCTTGATGCTCAATGAGGTCAGCTTAGGAGCTTGAAACAGACTAAGGAGGGAGCATTTCTACCACGGAAATTGGCAGCTGCAACCCGTCAGGGTTTTTGCATTTCCTGGAAAGCTGGTTGCTTAACATTTACCAACACACTGCTGGCCCCTGGTTCCAGAGACTCTCCTAACGCACGCACTCGTCTTGTGATGTGGCTTTAATTCTGCTTCTCACCTGGAGCTGAACACACTGTGCCTGCCTGGTCGTCTACATCCCCCACTAGCAGCTGCTCCTGAGCAGGAAGTAGGCTGGAGATGGGAGATGAGCAAGGGACTGCCGCTGCCATTGTTTCCTCGCCCTAGTCTCCTTTGACTGCGAATCTTACCACGTTCACACGTGCTAGCATCCTGTGAGTTTTCCCACTTTTGCAGCTTTTAAAGTCAAACATATGTTGAAAAATCCACCGACTGTTTTCCTCAGGCATTACTGCTCATTAACATGCACCTAGCCTCCCATAGCTCCATTTTCACACCTGAAATTTGATTTACATGAATAAATCTTTGCATATTCCTACTTAAAGCCGTCCGGAAGAAACCAATATTTCTCTTTCCAAAGCGGATTCCTGCTACACAGCAACCTGCTTGAAATCGCATCAGAGATGAACACCACATTCAACATCCGCCTTGCCACAATGACCCAGTTTCCATGGCAGAGGTGATGGGCTATGAGCTTATAAGAAATAAGGCCTGGACCAGGGGTAAGCTGGCTTTAGCATGTGGCACTTTGTCATTTTCAATCATTGGCCTCCCTTTCCCCCCTCCTTTCTCCTTATTGATCTGGCACAGATTTATACACCCAGTGCACACTGGGCAATTTCCCTGGTGCCCCGTGAACGCTATCTCCCTTTGTCACTGGAGGGGAAGAAGGGAAGGCAGCAAAGAGAAATGAAGTCCTATCCTCATGGTGAATGGGGCAGATTTGGACAGGACTGGCTCCATCTGCGTGGTAGAGGAGAAAATTCTTCACAGCTCACAGCATGCTGGGAGTTTATTTGTTTTTGACATTCACTGCAAATTAGTATCTTCAAATTTTGTCCATATGTTTTTACAGCAAGAATAATTCTTGGTCTAGAATTCATGCAGAATTCATACCAAATGTTTTGGAAATTGCATGAATATCTAAACCTTTTTTTTCCTATATATTTAGATGCGGATGCCTTAATGCACAAGCACTAAAACCACTTCTCAGAATGAATTGAAATGAAGCAAAGCTGTGCCCTTCTAAGATCCTATCAAGGAAATAAAAGATGCAACAGAGAAAAGTGTTGGATTACTCAACTAATCTGATGGGACAAGACTCCCTCCCCTGAATCGGCTGTTTTTATTCCTAATTAAATTTTTTGTCTGTGGTCAACAAGCCAATATTAAAACTAATACAGATTCGGTGTCTATATCAGTACATAAAATAGTAGGATTTCTTTTGAAAGAGGAAATGTTTTAAAGTCTATATAAATCAACTTTCTAAAAATGCTAATTACTTGACTCTCCCCATCATTCCCCACACTTTGTTTCCCCATATTTCCAATTTCAAAGTCAATGCAAAGTCGAAAAAGCATGCACTTGGGCTGAAACCCCAGCCTTGCTGCTTTCTGATCATGTGACAGCGTTTCACTGAGTCCCTCTAAGGCCTTAGTTTCCCTATTTGTAGAATTTGGAATAATAGTATCTATCACTTAGTATTGTTGCAAGAATTCAGAAAGATAATGTATGTACAGTATCTGCTCTGAGCAATAAAGATTTGAAGTTTTGTTGCCTATGTTTAGGTAAGAAGTTCTAATTCATAATATAGAAATATTTTTAAAAATCACAATTCAAGGGGCCAGTGTTGTAGCACATAGCATTAAGTTGTCACTTGTAATGCCAGTATCCCGTATTGGAGGTCTGGTTCAAGTTCCTTCTGCTCCACTTCTGATCCAGCTCCCTAAGGCCTGGAAAAGCAGCAGAAATGGCCCAAATGATTGAGCCCCTGCTATCCACATGGGAGACCTAGATGGATTCCTGTCTCTGTCACTCTGCCTTTCAAATAAGTAAATAAATCTTTAACAATATATTTTCAGGGGCCAGCGCTGTGGCGCAGTAGGTTAATGCCCTGGGCTGAAGCACCAGCATCCCATATGGGCGCCGGTTTGAGACCAGCTGCTCCACTTCTGATCCCGCTCTCTGCTGTGGCCTGGGAAAGCAGTAGAAGATGGCCCAAGTCCCTGGGCCCCTGTGCCCACGTGGGAGACCCCGAAGAAGCTCCTGGCTCCTGGCTTTGGATTGGCACAGCTCCAGCCATTGTGGCCATCTGGGAAGTGAACCAGCAGATGGGAGACCTCTCTCTCTGCCTCTCCTCTCTCTATGTAACTCTGACTTTCAAATAAATAAATAAATCTTAAAAAATATATATTTTTAAACAAATCACTTTATAGAAGGGGTTGTGGGATGACAGAGGTAGTGGAAGTGCAGTCCTCATACCAGATATTCAAGTCCATGTTTTTTTGCTATAAAGCACACAAGGAGAGTGAGGCCATGATTCTAGAAGCATGTTTTTGGAGACCTTTCTATTCAAATAAGTATTCTGTGTTTTTCTAGCAGCTTCTCCCTTCCTTTTTTTACTCTTTCTTAATTCCTTCTCTCCCCTCCCCTCCCCTCCCCTCCATTTCCTTCCCTTCCCTTTCCTTCTTCCTTCCTTCCACTCTTCCTACCTTGAGAGTGAGAAATATATCAGAAGTATTACTCTGAGTAATCCCAATTTTAACCATTTCAAATTGTCTATCCTGTGATTCCATGTATTAAACATGAAAGTCATAGCAAAAAACAACCTCCAGAAATTGAACTTCCCTTTCTCCCATTGACCACCCATGGCTAGACATGACTCTATCTTTGATCACAACTGAGTTTTATCATTTCTACTTTCCATTCTAGATTGGCTTGTGGCTTGCAGAAGATATTGTAGGTGATTCACACTATGTATTTGTAGAATCTTGTTTTATGTATAGACATTTTTACATAAAATCATGAACATTTCCATAGCTGGAAACATGGCCAGTATAAAGCAGTTCTCCAAAATCCACCCCGAAGCTCTCAAGAATTCAGTCCCAGCACATCTTTCTCAAAATCAAATCTAAAGTGACTTAAGAGCCAGATGGGCAGGGGGCCCAGCATGTTCTATTCATGTCAATTGTCCCCCACACCCCATCAGTTGCTCACAGTCTGCCCTCTTGGACACCTGAAGGCTATTAATTGGCTGCCATCCCTCCTAACAAACCCGGCAGGCTCTGGCCCTCCCGTCTGCCTTCTGTGGCCCCCCAGCCAGATGGGATCAGACATCCACCCAAACAGAAATGCAAACACCACTCTGCTTCCCGTCCTGGAAGTTTCATCTCAGGGACAGAGGCATGTCCTTTTAATCCCTAAAAGTGCAAATAAGTAGTTATTTTGCCCCTTCTAATTTATGACGCTCCTTTGTTTCGGACTAGAATGATGCCAACTCAGCAAGGGAGCTCTTTGCTTTATGTAGGAAAGAGAATTTTATTAATAGTCATGCATGTCTCTAATGAGTAAAAATATTAAATTATTTTTTAAAAAGTGCAATTTGTTTGTTACATAACATCTTTATCAGTCAGGGTCCTTCAGGAAACAAAGAGTATACTCAAAGGGTGACTGAAGAAAAAACACCCATTATAGAGTTGTGCATGGTGGGGCCAGCGCTGTGGCGCAGCTGGTTAAAGCCCTGGCCTGCAGTGCCGTCATCCCATATGGGCGCTGATTCTAGTCCCAGCTGCTCCACTTCTGATCCAGCTCTCTGCTATGGCCTGGGAAAGCAGTGGAAGATGGCACAAGTCTTTGGGCCCCTGCACCCGTGTAGGAGACCCGAAAGAAGCTCCTGGCTCCTGGCTTCGGATCAGCGCAGCTTCCGCCATTGCAGCCATCTGGGGAGTGAACCAGTGGATGGAAGACCTCTCTCTCTGTCTGTAACTCTTTCAAATAAATCTTAAAAAAAAAAAAAAAAAAGAATTGTGCATGGGGCTAAGGGAACCTGCAAAGTTGCTAATGCACCTCAGGGAATAACAAAAGTAGGGCACCATTACCAGACAAGGTTTAAAGGGCAGGAGAGGGGCGCTGTTGCCAGAACCCAGAGAGCTACAGCTGTGGGAGAGGGGCTACGTGTTGGAAAAGGAAACGGTGGCTTGCAAGGGGCTAGGGTGGGGATGGCATACATTTCCAGACTTCTGTCCTGCAAACCCTTAATTTCCTTCAGTGCCTGACACTGGCCCAACCCAAGCAACAGCCAGAGATCCGGTAAGTTCAGGCAATGCATTGCTGTAGAGGTCAGCCCCAGGGCACAAGGAAGGAAAGAGAAAGGGGGAACATGAGTGCAGAAGAGCAAACTGAGACAGCAGCCAGAGCATCTTTTAACATAACTGAAAATACAAAACTGATGAAAAGATTGACCGAGGAGGATTAAGGAAAATAAAGGATGGGTCTGGTCAGTAGAAAAGGTAAGGAATGAAGGGAAGAATTGAAGGACAAGGAATTCTGTCTAAGTCTTGGCTGCTTTCCAGAGTGGAATCCAAGACATTACAGGGAACTTTTCATTATACCTCTGTAAGAAAAGACCCTCCCCCAAATGACCCCCACCTTCCAAGCCACACTTCAAAACACCGAGGTCAATTACTGGCTGAGACCGCATGCTTGGACGGTCAGGCCTTCGGGCCTCGTGCAAGCAGGCAATCAACCCTCAGATAGACCTGCTTCGCTGCTGAAGAAGGGAAGGAAGAGGATGTCAGTTATTTTTGGCTACATAATAAGTCACTCCAAAACCTGGTATAAAACAACTATTTTATTATTTTTCATGTTTCTTTGGGTTGATGGAAGTTGGGATAGGGCTGCCTTATGTACCCTGTCATATAGTCCCATGTCATGGGGCTGTCTTATGTACCATGTAGTCATGCCCATGACTGTGTTCACTTGGAAATTTGGTTGGGCTAGGAACATCCAAGCTGGCCTCTCAGCCTCCAGGGTTTCTTCTAGAGCCAACATAAGCTTCCTTACTGAGTGGCAATGGGTTACCAAAGAATGTTCTAAGAAGACATATCCTAGTGTGCCTGCATTTAGCAAGTCTTTGCTTGTATTTTGCTTGCTAATGTTCCATTGTCCAAAGCAGGTCACATGGCACGTGGGAGAGGCCTACATGAGGTCATAAATACCAGAAGATAGTACAACTCATTAAGCACAGAGGTCTAACATGGGGAGCAAGTGCACAGTGACTCCTGTTGTTGCTTTAACAATTGACACTCTTATTTATGACATCAGCTCTTGACATGTGCTGCCAAGGTTATGGAAACCTTTCTGTGTCTGTGTGGGTGCAAATAGTTGAAATCTGTACCTAGTGTGGAGTTGGTCTTCTGTATCTAGTCAATTAAAAATGAATCTTAAAGGAAAATGGAATGGGAGAGGGAGTGGGAGGTGGGATGGGAGTGCAGATGGGAGGGCGGGAATGGGGGGAAGAAACACTATATCCCTAAAAGCTGTGCATATGAAAATTTGTATTCATTAAATAAAAAACTTCAAAAAATACAAGATATAGTCCCTTAGGAACTACCAATGTGACAGTCTACCACTAACAAGTGAGAGGACATCAGTAAAGTGGAACAGTACACAAAAGAATCTAGAAATCAAAATTTGCTGAGGGTCCTGTTACTTTAGTTTTACGAAGACCTGTACATGTTGGGTTCAGATAACTTGCTGTGAGCATGAGCAGTGCTGCTACCATGCTGGATGAGGGCTTCTGTTTTTGTTGTCAACTTGTGTTTTTATTTCATTATTTGAAATGAAGGGAGGGGAATGAGAAAGATCTCCCATCCTTTGCATTATTCCCCAAATGCCTACAATAGCCATGTCTGAGCCAGACCGAAGTCAGGAGCTAGAAACTCAACCTGGGCCTCCCACATGGGTAGCAGAGACCCAACTACTTGAGTCCTCACCAGCTGCCTCCCAGGTGCTCATTAGCAGGAAGCTGGAGTCAGAAGCAGAGTCCAAACACTCTGATATGTGTTGGCAGCATCCCAAGCAGAGGCCAAATGCCTGTGCCTATGAGGGTTTCTTTAACATGGAGTAATAATGTAATTCTGTATCCAGGAGGGTCACTAAGAGAGGTATTAGGGTAGCAGGCTGGCTGTTTAGGTTTGAGAAAAGGGCATAAGTATGGAGAGGACTGGCCAGATGGAACAGGAGGATGGAGCTCCAGGTCATTTGCACAGACTAAGATGTTAGCACAGAGCTCATGGCCAGATGTTCATCTTGGACCCAGGAAAATGGAGCTCAATGGATCAGGATTACCTAAGTTTGACAAAATCAGAGACATTGATCTACCAAGCAGAAAACATTCTGTTCACAGATAGTTTGTAATCCTAAAGCTTATGAGTGGGAGGATCTCCAGAAAATGACTCCCTTGCTTTGTGATGTAATGTTACTCCTCCCAACCAGATTGAGCTTAGTGGCTGTGGGTTATTCCCAGATTTCTCTGAGCTCTGAAGGGACCCCGGTGTGTAGCTGTGGCACACCTTAGATGAACACATGTAAGTCCATACTGCTGTGACAACATAGGCTATTTGTGAGGGAGGTGTGCTCTGGTGCCCACCTGGGGGACTTTGGGTTTCCCCAGTGTCCACTTCAGCCTCAACATGTCCTAACAAGACCTATACTTTCTATTTGCCCTGGAACATCATATGCAGAGGGAAAAGTATAAACACATAAGCCATGGTGATGAAGGATGCAGACTGAGAATATGCAGATGAATTCCAGACTTCAAGCTTCCAAATGAAGATTAGATCAAAGAAACCCTTTTCGGGCACTGCTTTCTAGGCCAATTTATGAGTCATGTAAAGAAACTGGTCTTTTTAGTTCATGTCTACTAAAACTGAGACTAAGAACAGCATTACCAGCCTTGATCACCAAACTCACATAACTGATTGACTTTTTAAAAAAGATTTATTTGAAAATCAGAGGTACAGAGAGAAGGAGAGGGAGAGGCAGAGAGAGAGAGAGAGAGAGAGAAAGAGAGAGAGAGAGATCTCCCATCCACTGGTTCACCACCCAAATGGCCTCAATGGCTAGGGATTGGCCATGCCAAAGCCAGGAGCCAGAAGTAAGGCGCTTCATCCAGGTCTCCATCTGGGTGGCAGGGACCCAAACACGTGGCCCATCTTCCACTGGTTTTCCCAAGGCACTAGCAAGGAGGTGGATTGGAAGAGGAGCAACCAAGACTCAAACTGGCACCCATGTGGGATGCTGGCATCACAGTTGGCAGCTTTACCCACTATGCCACAATGGCAGCCCCTCTGATTGACTCTTTTTTTATAG